TCAGATGAGGCTAATCTTGCACAGATACCACTGATACAAAATACCCACAATCCTTGCAGAAACAACACATGACAGACACAGAGCAGTCCCTCACAGACACTCATATACTATGGGAGAGAGATCCAACAGATCTATCGTCTCAGGGCCATAGTACTGGGGGACACCAGACTCAATTGGCACAACAAAATACATAAAAGCCTTGTTCCTCATCCTACATTGGTGAGTAGTGACTGGGGTCTTAAAAGCTTTCAAGTGGTCGTGTAAGATGCACCTAATGGTCTCCTAGTGTCCTAGCATCGGAAGCGAAGAAGAGTGGGGGGAGGGGGGAAACCAAGGGCATTTGGAAGCAATCAGCCCTACAACATGATGGCCCTTGAGACCAGAAGAACTAGACGGTGCCCAGCTACCAATGCCAACCACTCAGGAAAGGATCCAATCTAGAGATCCTGGATAGAGTGGGAGGAAAAACATGGAACAAAATCCAAAATCCAAAAACTCAGTAATGACCAGAATTACAGGTTGGATGGAGTCTGGTGAGGCCCCCAATACTATGGCCCTGGAATACATTCTGCATCTGGAATAAAACTCACTCCCAAGGGCTGGGTCTCATCCCAGTAGTTAAGAAGATGTACATGCAGACCACTCAATCCAGGGGACGCACCCACATACTCTATGGAAATACATCCCTTGGAGCAATAGAACATGGGGCACCAGAGGGGCAACTTTCACATGGAGGTATTACAGGACAGACAGGAGTGTATATCTATAAGGAGAACAGGGGGAGGGTTACTGGGCAGAGAGGGGAGGAGACTGGGTTAGGGTTGGGCATGATAAATGGGGAGTGAAACTAAATGTACACGTAATGTTGAATGTAAAACAAATTCTTAAAATTTTTAAAAAAAGTGTTTTTTTCTTTCTTTTTTTTTTTTTCAAAGACCTATATGAAGAAAACTATAAAACACTACTACAGGAGACAAAAAAGGACCTACATAAATGGAAGAACCTGCCTTGTTCTTGGATGTTGTTGTTATGTGCCATTGAGTCAGACCTGACTCATAGTGACCCCTCCTTGGGTTTCCGAGGCAGTATCACTATGGAAGTAGATTGCCCCATCTTCCTTCCAAGGAGTGGCTGGTGGGTTTGAACCGCCAGCCTTCTGGTTAGCAGTCAAGTGCCTTAGGCACTATAGGTAGACTGAATATTGTGAAAATGTGAATACTATCTAAAACAATCTACACACTTAATGCAATCCCAATCCAGATACCAACAAAAATTTTTAAGGACATAGAAAACCAATTACTAACTTCATATGGAAAGGAAAGAGGCCTTGGATAAGGATAGCACTACTGAAGAAGAAGAACAAAGTGGGATGTCTCATACTCCCAAATCTTAAAACTTACTATATGCCCACAGTAGTCAAAACAGCATGATATTGGTACAATGATAGACAGATAGACCAATGGAACAGAATCATAAGCCCAGATATAGACCCATCCATCTATAGACAACTGATCTTTGACAAAGGTCCAAAACCCATTAAATGGGGAAGAGATAGCCTCCTTAACAAATCGTGCTGGCAAAATTGGATATCCACTTGTAGAAAAATCAAACAAGACCCATATCTCACCCCATACACAAAAACAAACTCAAGTTGGATCAAAAACTTAAATGTAAAACCCAAAACTATAAAATTCATCAAAGATAAAATGGGGGCAAATCTAGGAGCCCTCATTTATGGCATAAATAGACTATCAAACATAACCCAGAATGCCCAGGAGGTTGAAGAGAAGCTAGATGACTGGGACCTTTTAAAAATTGAATTTTTATCTGTATCGAAAGACTTTGTCAAAGGGGTAAAAAGAGAGCTTACAGATTGGGAGAAAACATTTGCCTATGACATATCTGACAAAGGATTTATCTCCAAAATCTATAGAAAACTTCAAAATCTCAACACCAAAAAGACAAACAACCCAATTCAAAAATGGGCAAAAGACTTGAATAGACACTTCAGTAAAGACAATATGCTGGCAGCCAACAAACACAAAATGGATAAAGCTCCTAAATGTGAACATCAAAACCATAAAATTATGAGGAGAAAATATAGAGGTTTGTCTGCAAACCTAGTTTCTAAGAATGGATTATCAGATATGACAAAAGCACAAGTAGCAAATGACAAAACAGATAAAGATGTTGTTGTTGTTGTTATGTGCTGTCGAGTTGGACCCGACTCATAGCGACCCCTCCTTGGGTTGCCGCCGAGGCAGTATCACTACAGAAGTAGATTGCCCCACCCTCCTTCCAATAAGTGGCTGGTGGGTTTGAACCGCCAGCCTTCTGGTTAGAAGTCAAGTGCCTTAGGCACTATGCTTTGTTCAGCAACGAATTTTATAAGCAAGGTGAAAAGACAATCTCCAGATTGAGAGAAAACTTTTGGGAGCCATATAGCTGATAAGAGTCTAATATCTAATATACATATGTTGTTGTTGTTGTTATGTGCTGTCGAGTCCGACCCGACTCATAGCGACCCCTCCTTGGGTTTCTGAGGCAGTATCACTACTGAAGTAGATTGCCCCATCTTCCTTCCAAGGAGTGGCTGGTGGATTTGAACCGCCAGCCTTCTGGTTAGTAGTCAAGTGCCTTAGCCACTATGCTACCAGAGCTTCCAATATACATATAATTTCTACAATTTAACAACAAAAAGACAACCCAATAAAAAACTGGGCAAAGGGCTTAAACAAACTTTTCATCAAAAATAATATTCAAATAGCCAAGAAACACATGAAAAGATGCTCGTTGTTATTAGCCATTAAACTCATTGTGGAGCCAATTCCAACTCATACTGGCCCTATAGGACAGAGTATAGGAACTGTCCTATAAGGATTCCAAGTTGTAAATCTTTATGGAAGCAGACTATCATATCTTTCTTTTGTGGAGCAACTGGTGGGTTCCAGTTGCCAAACTTTCATTTGGCAGCTGAGCCCTTAGCCACTACACCACCAGGGATTTTTCATTAGCCATTAGGGAGATGCAAATCAAAACTACAATAAGATACTGCCTCACTCCATTAGAATAGCAATAATTAAAAATAAGCAAATAAACTCAAAACACAACAGGTGCTTGAGAGCTTGTGGAGAAACTGGAACTCTCATCCACTGCTGGCAAGAATGTAACATGGTACAGCTGCTATGCAAAACAGTTCGGCATTTCGTCAAAAAGTTGAACCATATGAATTACCATATGACTCAGCAATTCTGGGTATACTGTATTCCCAGAAGAAGTGAAAGCAGGAACACAAACAGAAACTTGTATACCAATGTTCATTGCAGCACTTTTCACAATAGACAAAAGGTGGAAATAATCTAAATGCTATCAACAGATGAATGGATAAACAAAATGGGATATATACAGACAATGGAATATGCTCAGCCATAGCAAGAAATGCCACAACGTGGATGAACTTTGAAAATATTATGCTGAGCAAAATAAATCAGTCACAAAAGGACAAATACTGTATGATTTCACTTGTATGAAATAAGCAAATATATAGAAACTTAAGATTATTAGTGGTTACCAAGGATGGATAGAGGAACACTGTTGGCATAGTGCCTAAGGCATTTGACTGCTAACCAGAAGGCTAGTAGTTCAAACCCACCAGCCCCTCCTCAGAAGGATGACTGGGCAATCTACTTCCATAGCATTACTGTCTTGGAATCCCAAGGAGGGGTCACTATGAGTCGGATCCGACTAGACGACAGTGAGTTTTTGAGTTTTATGGATGGGTAGAGAGAAATTTTGCATAGGGGGCAATAGTTTATGTTAATGGTGGTGGAATAATTTGGAAAAAAGATAGTGGTAGTGGTTGCACAACATGAAGAATGTTATCTATGACACTGAATTATACATATAGAAAATACTGAATTGACCAATGTTTTGTTTTGTGTATTCTCACCATCAAAACCAAAAAACAAAGCACACACAAAAATAACTGATATGAATCTACCATTATCTCAAAATAAAATATTTTACTAAGAATTTTATTAGTGGTGAGGAGCATCATGTTGGATCTCTGGCTGCATGCAACTGCTCAGTGTGATGCTGGCAGCAGTATGAAGTCACTGTTATTACTATAATCTCCACCAGGAGTGCTGCCTCTTCAGCTCACTGGCCTAAGTGTGTTCCCCTCCCTATCTCACGGTCCTACTCTCAGTGACCACATTCTTTACTCTTGTGTTCTCATTTCTAAGTTTCCAGGCCTTGTATGGTTGGTGATGAGCAGAGAGGAGAGCACTGGGGACAGGGACATGAAGACCCTTCCAGACATGAAGAAGGTGAGTGAGGCAAAATCATTGCTCATTTGCTAAATCTGAATGAGATTCAAGTATTACTTGCTTACTGACCAAATCAAAGTTCTGAATTTTGATTAATGAATGCAATTAAAATTGTTTTTTTCCCTTCTCCAAAAATCACTGCTATTGATTCAATTCAGACTCATAACAACCCTATAGACCAGGATATAACTACACCATAGGGTTTCCTACAGTCTTTATGGAAGCAGACTGCCACATCTTTCTCCCATGGAGCAGCTGGTGGGTTTGAACCATTGACCTTTCAGTCAACATCTGAGTGCTTAACCACTGTGCCACCAAGGTTCCTTCAAAAAAAAAATCTACTTCCTAAACCCAAACTCACACATGCTCTAAGGCTCTTGAGGTAAAACATCCAAGTATAGTTGAGACTAGAGCTGATACTTCTTTTGGCTTATATCTCTAGCTACATAATGAGAGGATCTTGTTTTTTCCCTTCAAGTAATCAAATAATGAAGCAGAATTCTCTGGCCTACACAGGCTGCAATGCAGGCCAGGGGTCCTTGGAGGTCTTGTGCTATAGTAATCTTGAGGAAGAACCAGCATGAGAGCATGTGGCCCTAGTTTGCTGGACTTCAGGCCTACAGGGGAGGGTGGCTGTTGGGAGAGGAGGGCTGGCTAGGGCAGTGCCAGCACCTGTGTTTGTAGCTCCGAAGGACCCTCTGGACATTGATGGCTGCTTTATCCAGGGCCTGGCTCCTCTGAACTTCCAGCAGAGTTTCTTGGTGGTCCTGCAAGCAGAAGAACCATCAGACAGTTACCCAACTCTCACGTTGACCCTTGCCTGGGGCTGGCTCTGTCTCTGAAGTTAGTTCCTCTCAAACTTCTGCACATCCCCACAGGAAGGCAAGCAGGAGGAAGGAGCCTCAACTTGACTCTGATGTAGCTCATGGAAGGGAGCTGCCAGCTATACTCCCCACCTCCACCTAAGAACTTCCTATTTCAACTCTTTCTTCCTGGTAATTCAGTCTGGCAAACTTCCTTTCTGCTCTGGAGAATGGGGGAAGTGGGAGAATAAAGCAGTCCCCTATGAGCACAAAGTTTCCCTGGAATTGTGTTTTATTTCCCAAAATTCATGTGAAATTTGCTTTCTACTATATAACAGACCCCTTCTTGTTTCAATATAAACAACCTATAAGTAGGATCCATGATGTAAGAGGATAAGTCTTATTCATCCCTGGACTGTGATTTTCTCAGCCCATCTCATGCTTTCCCTAGGTTCCCTTCAGTTTCTCAAAGGCAGGAATTGAGGACAAGCTGTGAACTTTGTTTAACACAGGTCAACATGACCTTCCTGCCTCCATTATGCTTCCATCAAGCAAGGATTGAGCCTCTTCATAGCACATCCTGAGAGAGCACTGGTGACACAGAGAGGGATGGGGATGCAGCTGTAGCCTCAAAGACCAGCTAGACTGGGAGTGGGAATGGACAAGGAGGTGGCCCCTTCTAGGCTATAGGAACAAAGTTGCCCATATAGCCTCCCTCCAAAAACTGTCACCATTCAATGCCCAGTGCAGGCCCCTCTCCTCTTGCTGCCTTCCTCTGACAACCTTGCCTGAAGGGAACAGTGTGAATGTGGTTGAGGGGGGTGGCCAGACTGGCAGAGCATCTTGCTGGTTCACTTGCGCTGACCTCTTTTTTCTCTTCCTCCTCCTTTGCTCACCCTACTCAAGGCCTAGGGAACATGGTGTTTCTTTCCCAGATGGCTCTTTGACCCCACCCACCACTGGTGCTCCTGGGAGGGCCTGGGGCCAGTCAGCTGTGAGGTTGCCTCTGACACAGCCTGAGCCTTCCCTGTAAGTTGTTGCTGCTGTTGGTAGGACTGTGATGCACGTGCAAGTCTGCCATAAGATGTACCCCTACATAACTGGTTTAAGAGGGTGGGGTGGAGAAAGCAAGGGGAGCCTTCCAGACTCCAGGAAAGCTAGGCTTCTCCTGGCTTATTAGAGGACTAGGGCTCCAGGAGGTTAAGAGGCCTTCCTGAGCTCTTCCTTGCTCTCATTCTGTAGCTTCCTCATCTTCAGTCTTCTAGTTCTTTGAGAAGGCCTCCCAGACTTCTGGGAGGAATGGGGCCTACTGAACCTCTCCCAGAGGTTCCCCTTGGTACACCTCACTCCCCCAGGCATGATTTTCTACATCTGAGGTGCCCCATGAATGTCTCAGGCCAAGTGAGCAAAGACTGCCTGCCAAGGCCTGGGCCCAATGTGGGGTGACCCAGGAGCTGGGGATCAGCATGTTCCTTGGGGTCTCACCTTCAGGAAAATTTTGGTCTTTCCCATTTTCCAGTCTTTGTCTGTCCTCAGCAACATGTCAGCAATTTGCAGGGTCATCTGGTGGAACTTGTCTCGAAGCTGCCAAGGAGACAGAGTGGGCCAGTTCAATTGGAGTTGAGACTCCAGAGGCAGGCTGGAGAGACTCCTCTGACAGCTTTGGGGTCTGGATCCTCCTTGAGTGTCTCAAATGGACCTATATCTTTCTCCTCCCACAAACTTCCCAGTTTGACCAAACTTCCTGCTTGACCAGGGCATAGACACAAGTGAGTACCTTATCAAAGGCAAATCCAAGATGAGTACCTGGCCTCATGGATGACATGGGCACTCAGGCCTCACTGATTTTGGGACCTGGGCCCTTAATGAAGGTGTTGAACAGTTGGCCCTTGGCCAGATCAAATTTCAGATAACTGATGTTTGAGGAAGAAGATGAGGACTTTTTGTCCCTACTAGCTACCCAGTCACACTTCATCCCCTGACAGCCTACCATTTAAGAAAGAGTATTTGCTCTAAAAGTGAAAAACCTAGAAAGAACTTACTCCACCACCAGCAGTGGTCTAGACTCCATCCTGCCCTTCACCTACTGTACTGGCCACAAGAAGTTAAGAGATAAGATGCCTGACTTGAAAAAAGGGAGAACAGGGATAATTTCAAAGCTTAGTGTCCCAAGAGGGTAGACCTAAATGGTACCCTGGGCATCAGAAAAATAGCAGGAGGACCTTGAATTTGGGGGGTGATGATGCCAGGAGACCAGGAGAAGGGAAGAATTAGCCTGGTTTTGTAGTCTCCTCTTCAGAGCAGTGGAGTAGGTGGGGCCAAGTGCACACCTGCATCCTCAAGGCACTGGGCAGTAGGACTTGGAACCTCTGAGAGAACTCTTCAAACGTGTAGCGAATGGGGAATCCAGACTTGCGGATCTGCACAGTCTCCATCATGCCCGAGTAGCGCAGCTGCTTAATGCATAGCTCCCGGTGGAAGAGCTGCATACAGAAGGAGCAAGATCAGAGGGCTTTGGAAGAGACAGAAAGCCCACCCTCCCTGACATCCTCCTCTAGCCACAGAGTGGGTCACTTGCCCAATGAGATATTTAGCAGGCTCCAAAATATAAGCAGAAATAACACATTCTTGGTTTAATTCAAATTATATTTTGAAGAGATATAGCTGGATGAAGTAGCTGAAAAGTGCTCAAAGTGTTTCCAAGCAGATACAGGTTGATATGAAACTATGACCACAAGAATATGAAATGATTCTATTATCTGCAAGATAAATATATCTTGAAAAGTATAAATACAAAATTTATCTGTGTATGTCTTGTTTAAAATGTTTTAAGCACCCAAAACAGTGATTCCAAAGAACATTGCTTCTTCCAGGGCCAAAAACAGCTTAACCTTGGGTAATCATTTAGCTCCCATTTTTCTATTTCCTATGAGCCAGGAGCTCTGGTGGTGCTGTGGTTAAAACATTAGGCTGCTAACAAAAGGTAAGCAGTTTGAATTCACCAGTCACTCCTCCACAGGAGAAAGATGAGGCTGTCTGCTTCTGTGAAGATTTACAACCTTGGAAACCCTATAGGGCAATTCTACTTTGTTCTATGTGTCGGAATTGACTTGATAGCAGCATTTGGTTTAGTTTTAGCCCATGGGCTAGGCTTTTCTCATTTAATCTTCACAGTAGTCACACGTAATGAGTAATTAGCTCCATTTAGAGATAAGATACCCACTGAACTCTGGCATCAGCTGTAGACCATACCCCCAACTTTTCCATCATCCTGCAATTCCAAAGGCTAAGGGAGTGGGCCTGGGCAGAAGGCTTTGGGCCATATTCCAGGGCTTGCTGAGTAAACAAGCCACATGGCCAAACACAACTCTGTGGTGTGAAGTCAGCAAGCACAGAGCTGGGCTTAGAATTAAACAACTCCCCAGAAGCCTAGACTACACTGCAAGACTTCTAGGTGTCTTGTCATTAAATATAACCCTGCAAACCAACTTCATCTATCAGCAACAGACAGTAGATGTTTACCCTAAAAGTTTCTCTTTCCCAAGACCTGTACCTTTAAGATTTTCTGTATTCCATGTGATTTGTTATTCTGCACTACTGTAAAACCTTAAAAACCCCAGCTGTACATTCATTCTTTCATCATGAGATTATAAATGACATATAAGCAAAAAACTGCTTTGCAATAGTTGCAAGAATTTCTCTAGAACTGACTCCCCATTTGCAACCCTCTTTATTTCTCTCTCACTCTTAATAAATACTTGATCTCTTTAATAGCCAAAATCTTACTGTTTTTAACAGTTCTGGTGTCAGAAGTGGGGTTCAGAGTTTCCTGTCCTGATGACCCTGGCCTGTTGGTAACACGTGATGATCACATGAGCAATTTTCAGCCCTCTGTCTCCCCCAGACATCTGAGGTCTTTAAGATAAATGAACTCCTGGGCTGATGTCTGCTCTCTTTACGGCACAGCATATTAGGGATAAACTATTTATCTTTCTCCTGGGCTAGGTCTGGCATTTAACTTGGCATTGAATCTTAACCTTCTTCTTAGATTGGGTCTGGTATGGGTCATAACTGCAGACAGGTCCAGTATCAAGGTGTTTTTCCCAGACTGGGTGAGGTATTTCTCCATGACTGGGTCTAGTGTTGAATTCTTTCTCCTGGACTGAGTCTGGAATTGGGGTCTTTCTCCTGGACTAGGTCTGGCATTGTATTTCTCTTCTGGACTGGGTTTGGATTGGGAGATTTAAACCTAGACTAGGTCCCACACTGAGGTCATTGTGACTGGTCAAAAATGAAACTAGGTTTCACTGAGCAGTCACAATTTCAAAATTTGAGATACTGAAGATAATGGGCTCCATGGATTCTAGTAAGGGGTTTCTAGATCTTCGTTCTGCAGATTAACCAAAAGTGTTGTTCATTGTCTTTAAGACAACAATTTGGAGCTTTCCCACCTCCTTCAGCAGGGATACCTACTTATTCAGTCCTCAGGCCTTCAGTTTCATTAAATCTTTCAATCAACTTAACTAAGATGATTTGGAAATTCAGAGGCCTCAATAAAGCTCATTATTTAAGATAAGATTGTTTATTTACAGAGCAAATTAGGAAAAATAAAAAAAGAAATACTATAATATTAAGACTAGATAGCCCTAATGGAAGGCTGATTTTAACTGGTATTCTGAAGTCACAAACAAATTTAATAAATCCAAAACGCCTCCTTGAAAAAAACTTTCTGCAGAAAGGAAAAGAAAACCTAAAATATTACAGCTAAGGATCCGATTCTCTAAATAAACAAACAAAAAAATAAAAAAAGAAAGGAAATGAATTTGTTTTGGATTATGAAAAAAATTATAGCAGGTTTATTTGATGGATTTGTAACTCATTTATGAACACAAATATAAACTTAAATGAGAAAATGCCTTTTTAGAGGAAATAATTCAGCTAGTTAACATTTTGAGTGAGGGTTAAAATATAAGAAAAAGAGAAAAAGAAACTCTGAAAGCTAAGAAAATATGGTTTATAATAAGTTATAATAAAAGGGTAAGTTATAATAGATAAGGTATAATAAAATGAAAAGATCTATTTGTTTATGAACTAGTGAAAATTATTCAACTTAAAAATGTTAAACCTATTTTAAGGTTTTTTTTTATTTTCTAATGAACAAAATGTAGAAACATAGACAAGACATATAAAAACAAATCAAAAGGAGAGTCTAAAACTCCAGAGCTGACAGGCTGGAAGAGAAAATGTTTTCCAAAGTTCATGATTATTTGCTAATTCTTGTTAAATTTTAGTTTTTCCAAAATGTATCTTTAAGATCAAAGGAGGAGAGATGATTTAAGGGAGAAACAGAAATAAATATTTCTACAGTTCAAAGAGAACTAGAGAAGGAAAGGCAAAAATGAGATTTGAAATAAAGATCTATGTAAGTAGCTAAAGGACCAGAGACAACTAGAAAGAAAGTCTGTATACAGGAAGAAAAAAATATAATATAACTAAAGTATTAGTAAAAGAAAAAAGCTAAAAAAATAGATAAAGAATTAAGAAAAGAGCCATGAAAGTGATGCAACCAGAGTCATAAGATAGTGGAAGAGACTGTAAACCTAAAGGTATTTTTAAATGAAAAATATGGTAATATATGACTGATTCAAAATGGAGTCTCATCAGTAATCACCATGCTATTTCCCTCTAGCATCTTAGTGCTTGAAAAACTAGGTGCAGTGTTTGAATTAGGGATTCTGGTGCCCTGAAAACCTCACTGAGTCAGAGTGCACCAAACTCATGGGAGTTGAATTAGAAAAGAGAAAGGGACAAGGGGACAAAAAATAACAAGATCCTGTGGAGTGCTGACACGCAGAGGAGAAAGGCCATTAGAGACCTCCCTGGGTTAAGGAGGAAGACAAACCACACCACCATACCAGCAATCACCCCAAGGATCTACCTTCAGCACCTGATTTTATCTGTAACTTGGGTTGGCTAGATGCAAATGGGCATGGCCAGTGCCATTGAAACCCGAGCAGAGAGTCCATTAGGGCCATAAGAGGGTGGGCCCAGGGAGGTGCCCCCACAGCAGAACACTGATCAGGCTTGGGTCAGCTTGTTGTTGTTGTTGTTGTTTGCCGTCGAGTCGGCCCTGACTCATAGCAACCCCTCCTTGGGTTTCCGAGGCAG